CAGATTTAAATTTAAATATATTTTTTAAATCTAATTTATCTTATTCACTACACTTCAAACCATCTCTAAGTAAATTTTGTACTTGTCAGAGAGGGGTGTGTTACATTGTACGCTTGTTATATAATAATAATAATAATAATAATAATAATAATAATAATAATAATAATGGGCCGAGATCGCTAAGGCAGTAGTGCCGTCGCGATCACGGACGAGAAAATCGCGGGTTTGAGTCCCGCCTCAGGCATGGAGTGTTTGTGTGTGTCTAAGATGTGAAAGAAGTAAAAAAATTCAATTTTATAATTTTTGAAAAATATAAGAGTAGAGCAACATTATAAGAGTATTACAACTATATAAGAGTTTATGTCATCTTATATAGTGCTTTTAGCACAATTCCTACCAAAAGTTTAAAGATAAAATTTAAGAAAATATTGTTTTTGTATTTTTTGTAATTGCACGTATTGCTCGAAAACTACTAGAATTTTCAAAAAATGTACGTGACCTAAATGAATGAACTCACCATGGAGAACAAATCTTATTTGAAGTAAAGATCTCCATGTTCAATTTTGTAGTTGCAGGAAGAAGGTTCAAGGGCCGGAAAATTGAGAGGTAACCGTGAAAATCGGACCTACGCCACCATTATACACGAATTTACTCTATTCTTTCAAGAAATTTAAAGAAAAAAGTTGGAGTCGTTTTTGAGAACATTTTGAAAATGTCCCAGGGGAAACATGTATAGTAGCCCCAAAATTAATGACTGTTTTTCAAAACTGCGGTGCTTCAACTCAGGGCAAATCGGCAGGGTTTTCTCAATTTGAAAAAACTCTACACATGACATTTACATACCAGACAGACGGACGTTTTGAAAAAAGCACTTTTTCAGTATCAGTGGACCGCAAAACGTTTATTTCCGTTGAAATCTCGAAATCGATTTTCCGCTGTATTACTTAACTTTACCTATTACTCCGTATATACGTACGTATACGGGAAAGTAAAAATCGAAAAATGAACAGACCTATACAGATATGTACAGATAGTCGTGTGGTAGTAAACATAAAACTAAGGAAGAATGGTTCACTTCCCTTCGTACTACACTTATGAATATTGTCACAGGTTTTTGTAGTTCATAACTATCTAGTTTCAGATTCATGAACTGATTGATGTTCCTGAGAGCGTCAACAGCTATGGTGATTGGTCCCCTTAGTTTGCAGGGGTTTGCAGGGGATTTCCCCCACCTCCTCTCTTGGAAGGTACAATGGTAGCATAGAGAAGAGAGCGGAGTTTAACATGCGAGAGTTCTCGCACGAGTACGCTAGTGTCTTAAATTTCACCAATTGCCAAGACAAAAAATAAAAAATGTGTTACTGTTCCGAAAACTAAACTAGGTTACAAGATCTAAATGGTTTCGTAAGTAACTCCTGTCAGAGCACTTACCGTGAAGATCTTGCCGCACTTGCGCGAAGATCTACATAAAAATAAGCCTGTCAGGTTACGATACACTGGTAACACCAGGTGCTGAGGACTTTTGGTCGATTTTCCAATTTTCAACCGAGGACGCTCTTGACCACCTAAGCACCCTCCGTGTCGAGTAGAGCTAGCGTCACACACGACTTGCGAGGCCCATTGGTTTAGCACTGTCACATGTCCTGCTTCAGCACCCAATTGCCCACTGCAGGCCGGGCCTGCCTACGCGGCATACGGGTGGGGGGAAAGCGCAGTGCCGGTTTCGCGGTTTTCCAAGTTGGGAAGAATTTCTACCATTCCCTATTTATTTTTGTTATTCTAATGATCGAAATTACAGAATAAAATAGTCGCTTCGATATGTAGGAAACTGTAATATTTTACTCAACATCTAATAAAAATATACATTGATCAATATTTAAAAAACGCGCGCTTTTAAGCAGCATAAACTACATCTAAGTGGTTTTGAGGAGGAATTTGCTTTCCTCCTCTTGGGCGTTAATCGCCGGTATCTCTCTGCGCTCCTGCGGCCGCAAGAGGAAACCTTTCGTAATGCACTAGATCTACACACTAGAATATGAGATCTCCTCTCTTCCACTCCTATCTTCAGGTTTTTCTCTCAACTGCCTTGCGGGACGTTGACGATATCGCAAAGGCCAGGACGTGAGCGAGCTTGGACATACCAGCTGGTTTGCTGTCAGGAGTTAGATGGAGTGATTACTATTTCACACGAGTGCATTTCAGTGGCCAAAATTTTTAAAAAAAGTGTAGATCCGATTCAAAATGATACCTTCGGTCACTCCCGGGCAATACACAGGTCACATATGCACATCCTGTAATAATGCTAATTTATTGTGTTTTTGCGAGGATATTTGAGCATGTGCCAGTCTTATTTGCTATGAGAATAAGAGCTCCTAAGCGTTAACGGATGCAGGTGCCACCATCTCACTCCATTTCCTGTCAATCAACATATGCTAACGGCGTGCGAGATTCCCGCGCACGGGACGTGACTGTGCTAGATTTTGGCAAATTCCCACGGATTTTAGGTGCGCGAGGCAATCCTCGTTCTCGATGCTTCCAGAACATTTAAAATACTTAGTGCGATATACGCTCATTGGATTGGGCGATTAGTTCGTACCTCTATCCACAAGACAAAACGATTGCTTTGCACAGCTAAAATATTTTTGAAGCAAATCCATCGTGCGCGGGTCTCCTGTCGCTCAAGTAATAATT